TGTTCCCATCTCCAACACTTCCATTAAAATCTGCTGCTATAAAAATCCTTAAACAGAAAGCAGCCAATAAAAGATCATGATCTCAATTTTTTTAAAAAAATCACAGTAAACATATTTACTGATCAAGAACAAATTAGATTTATGTTAGGAAATAATATCTCAGGATACAGTGTAGTTTGGGACATGACATGTGCATGCAACTGCCAGGATGGTGGAAGGTAAACTGGATGGACCTTGGTCTTCTTTCGTCCAGCAATTCTTACGTTCTCCGAAATACTGATTGTGCAGTGCCTCGGGCCATCCTCCAAACGTTCTCCTGATGTGAAAGGCGCTGTACAAATGTAATTTTGTTGTTGTTCTCAAGAGATGAGTTAGCATACAGGGCAGGATTAGATTTCCCCTCTTGCATCAACATCAACAAAGAAAATCTATGATAACTCGGAATTGTGGAAAATAGTTCAACTTAATCTTAAATTGGAAGCTGGTCCTTTTTGGAACTTTGGGAAGTCAGGTCTGAACCGAACAATCCACAATACTGCTTATGAAAGTTCTTAAAATTGTAAGACTAAATGGCCTTATGGTCTAAGGCGGGATTAAATTTCAGGCCTCTGATCCTTGATTGAAGATCCCATTAGCTTATTGTGATCTTGTGCATAGTCCAAGTGCATTTTGAAAGGTTACTCACCTACTGGAGTCCTTCAGCTCCGTAGTTAGAGCACTCACCTCACAAGTGAGACCTGGGTTTGATTCCCGGCAGGACGAAATGTTGGGCAAGTTTCCTTACTCTACACGCCTCTGTTTACCTCGCAGTAAGTAGGAACCAGGTTGTTAGTCAGTTGGTGGATTGCTTTTCAGGAGTAATAACTACTTAACTAAAATTAAGTTTTTTTAGCTTTCACTTCAATGTATGAGTGTTTATGGGACACTGTTGTGTGCAATTGGCTGCTGCGTTTACCCCACAAAAAAGTCAATTCACTTTCCACTTTATTCTGTGAAGCGCTTTGAGATGTCTCGAAGACATAATAAATCAAATGCAAGTATTATTATTGTTACTGAAGCTGTAGTTTTTAATTAAAGTATGACCACCTAAACAGTCTTCTACAGCTCAGCTCATTCTACTGCTGTTTCACTTTACAAAAAAATATTAAAAATCGAGACAGCTATTGGGGCAACAGGCCCGGCGCAAAAATATATTGCAAGCAGGATGAACAGTTAAAGTACTGTATAGTTTTGTGTCAATATGAACACGAAAAACAGAAATTCACAGGAAGAGGTTATAGTTAGTGCTATCCAGTTAGATCCAATCTCTACTTTCTCCCTCTTTTTTTCTGCTCAGGTATTAAAGCAATTCCACCTTAAACGTCAACAGGGATTCTTCTTTCCACATCCTAACAACCTTTTTGTTTTTATCACAAAAATCCTCATAATTTCAAAAATCTCTGCCAAGTATCAACTCAACTTTCTTGTTCCTGGAAAAACAGCCCCAATTCCTCTCTCCAGCCTCCAGACCAGAAGCTACAAAAGGAGGTGGTGGTCATTTCACCCATCAAGCTAACTCTGCCATAACATTGCATGCCCAAGTATTAAAACTCTGTAATTCAGCGGGATGAGGGTTTTAATACATAGGGCATGGAATGTATGCCCTCCCATGTCCTATGTATTAAAATCCTCCATCATATTCCTTAATTTTTTTCACTTCAAGTATCTATCGATCCCTCTTAAAATTGCTCCACAATTTCTCATCTATGTTTTTCCACACCAATGCATTCAAGATTTGCATCAAGTCTGTGAAGAAATCAGCGGATCGAAAAGTAGCAATGGCTGGTTAGCCTTCCAGGAAAAACATGATAGGATAGATAGACTTGCACTAAAGTGGTTTCCAATCTGTGACCATTATTCCCAGATCATTCACTCCACTTTAAATTCTCTCCCCACCCCACTCCCCCGCATGACACATATGAATAGCTGCCAAGTCTTATAACTTGGAAATGAAATATTAAGTTTTGAGATGAATGTGCCTGAATCTTTCTGCACATATTGCAATGCCAATTTTTTGGGGGTGGGGCAAAGGGAAGAGGAACAGAAAAGGTTGCAAGTGTAAGTTGAGGCACCTCATGTTAATGTGTTTAAACACCCCCAAGATTTGTTCTGCACTTTTTCTAAAGAGGGAGACCTGAAATCTACAAAGCACGTGGCACAATTAAGAACAGCTTCCAGCTTCATATGCACGATTTTTTAAAAAAAAACTGGAAGTAGTACAAAAATACCATATTTCAGTGTTAACAGTTGAAAGCTGAGAGAAAAGATTTCTTCACAAAACTCAACTTCAATCAATCCAATGTTTGCACTGGTCAGCATTGCCAAAAGCTGATTGTTAAATTCAATTCAAAGGCACTTTTCAAAAGTTATGAAACGTGGAAATATAAGATAGATTTAAAAGAGCTGCCACCATTAGAAGCAATCTAGTTAAGAGTGGGTGGGTGGGGGGGAGGGGAAGAGTACCAATACAACATATGGAGTAGGAGGTGGATTTTCCTTCCATAAATGTTGCATTTGAAAAAAGTTAAAATGTTTTACTTGACATCAGCAGACTTTGAGATAGTGGGCACTTTGAAGAAAACCCAACACAGAAGAAAAAGTAATCATTCTTTCTCTTCCCCCTCAAATGCACTCACATTAACATTTCCTTTCTTACCCCTCCTCCAAAAATATATACTCTGCCCCCCCCCCTTCTCCCCCACATACACAGACAAAGTGCAGTTTTCTTCAAAAATGATTTTATTGGGAGAACTACAAAAAAATTTACAGTACAAATTTTACAGTCTCACACTTTAATCTGTAGTGAACTGACACCCCAAGTTATTTTTACAAGTTTTTTTTTCCTTTTTGTTACATTCATATGATACTTCTGTTAAAGTAGTCAAAAGAGAGTACATAGTGCTCATAATCTGTACCTACTATGTACAAACTAAACCTACTGTCATTCACCCATTTTCTTGGAAAAAAACAAAGATCTTTCTCGTAATTAAATCCCCAGAACAAAAAAAGAAAAAGCCTCAAAAAGCAGAGCTCAACTCTCCAGGCGTTTTCGGATTTACTGCAAAATCTGTTCAGACACAGAGGTGGCCCCTCACTGGTCAAAGTAGTGGCAAGGGGTGAGGAGCAGGGCAAGATCCCCCCCCACCCCCTCTCTCTTAAAACAGAAGTTCATCTTCAAGAACATTACATTCAGAGAACTATCACATCCCACCTTGGTATTACAAAAATACTTTTTTAAAAAAAAAAGAAATGCACTTTGTTCTGAAACTGCAAGTCTTGAGATTATTTTGGTAATTATGGGGAAAAAAAATAATAAATCATCTCTGTAACTTGGACCCTGAAGGCACTGTCAATAATACTGGGTCCAGGGTGCTACATATTTTGGCTTTTTAATTTTTTTAAAAAAATCACAGTGTCATATTTATACAACAGAAACAACTTATGATGCCACTTTTGACTTAAGAATGCCACATGAAAGTCTGATACTCTAGAAGTTTATCCAATGACTTTGGACGGTCTAACACCCCTCTTGTTACTTTTACATTCTTTTTTTAAAAAATGCCTACCATCTTGATCACTACTTCCACAGCATCGAGAACTGATTTCTAAACGCGTAGAAAATCAGGCAATCGTTCATTTCGTAAACAAGGAAAAAAAAATTAATGAAATAAATATTACGTACAATCTCTTAAATTAAGATTTTATCATTTACAATAAAATAACCAAAGTGAAGTTACAAAACAAAAAAACCCAACAAAAAAGGCATATATTACTGTGAAAACAACATACACTCCACATTCTGCAGATTAATAATGGCAATCATAATTTAAACATAATAAAAGAATATATATCTATTGTTTTCATCATACGCGATAAATACAGTATGAACAAATTACCAATGTATACTTTCTCGAGATAATAAATAAGTTAAATAGTTTTATAGCGAGCTGGGCCACCAGTGGGCCATCAAAAACTCAACAGCTAAAAAAAATTTAACAATCAGCAGTTATTTTCAACAATTACAAACTAACTCAACGAACGAGTGCTTCACACACACAAAAAAATTCTGCAACACGGTTCTTCTCTGTCTCTCCTCTATAAAGCCAACACGGGACCCACTAGAGTGGCAATGGAATATAGATTAAACTTGCAATAAAGTTTGGAATGAAGTTCTTTCTCGCTTTTTTTTCTATATATATATACACAGGCACACACATATATAAAAAAAACAAGGCCAAAAAAAAAGGAAAAAAGAGAAAACAACAGTTCTGTTATGGTTTTTGTTTGATTTAAACGAAGGCATTTTCTTGGCAGGATTTCTCTCTCTCTCTCGTAACTTTAGCTTAATGTCTTTTTTTCCTCTCTTTTTAAATAAAGCAAGTCTTTTTTGTTTGTTGTCGTCATCATCGTTGTTTTGTTTGTTTATTTGTTTGTGTTGTCCGTCGGTCTAGTTTGCGTCTCGTAATAATAATAATAATAATAACAATAATAATAATAATAAATGGGTTTTGTTTTTTTTTGTGTGAGGATGAAAAAAAAATTTTTTGCGCTCGACTTCGATTGTTGTAAAGTAATATCGTTGCATTTTTTTGGGGTTACCTTCTGGTAAAAAAAAATGCCAAATCTTTATATATTTAATAACATAGAGAGAAGGTAAGAGATGAGATGGATGGATAGAGAGAGAGAGAGAGAGATGGAGAGAGAGATAGTGAGGAGGGGGAGAGTGAGTGAGAGGGAGTGAGAGGGAGGGAGTGAGAGAGGGAGTGGGTGAGTGAGTGAGTGAGTGAGAGGAGGAGAGGGAGTGAGTGGAGGGAGAGGGAGGGAGAGAGGGAGTGAGAGGAGGAGAGGGAGTGAGTGGAGGGAGAGGGAGGGAGGGAGGGAGGGAGTGAGAGAAGAGGGAGTGAGTGGAGGGAGAGGGAGTGAGAGAGTGAGTGAGTGAGTGAGGAGGAGTGAGCGGGAGGGAGGGAGGGAGAGAGTGAGTGAGAGTGAGTGAGTGAGGGAGAGATCAATCCTCTGAGATGGAGAGTCTGCTGAAGATGGGGAGGCGCCTGGCGGGGTCCATGCTGGGAGACTCGGAGCCGCTCAGGCTGCCGGAGGAGCTCAGGTAGCTCTCCCGGTCGGACAGCGAGTCGGGCGGACTGGGGGAGGCGTCGAAGACCGGCGACTCGGCCATCCGCCTCAGGCACGAATGCATGTGGCTCAGGGTGTAGGTGGGGGAGGGCGGGGGGTGCGGGTAGCCGGACAGCTGCTGGGTCTGCACGGCCAGAGGGGTCAGCAGGTTGCTCAGCTCCTGGCTGGAGAAGGTGAAGGCGTTGTTGGCGCAGGTCGGAGGCGGCGGCGGCGGCGGCGGGTGTTGCAGCTGCTGCCCCAGCGAGGAGGAGCCGCCGCCCGAGCCCGAGCCCGAGCCGCCCAGGCCCGAGCCCACCACCCCGGCCACCCCGGGGGACAGCATCAGCTCGTCGCAGTACATGGAAGAGGAGGAGGTGGAAGAGGAGGCGGAGGAGGAGGAGGAGGAGGAGGAAGAGGAGCAGGAGGATAAGGCGGCCGAGGAGCAGCAGGAGGAGGAGGAGCAGAGCGGAGGAGGAGTGCGGGAGGTCGGGCTCTCCATCAGCGGGGACTCCAGGCCGCTGGGCGCGCTCGGGAAGCCGGCGAAGCTCTGGCTGTGGTGGAGCTTGGGCCGACTGTGCTGGTGGTGCTGGTGGTGGAAGGCGCTCAGGCCGGCGGCGGCGGCCGCGGGGTGGTTGTTGTTGTTGTTGCCGCCCCCGCCCCCGCCCCCGCCGCACGGCGCCTGCCTCCTCTCCTCGGCGTTGTGGATGAAGTGGCAGCGCGGGCCGTACGGGCAGAAGCCGATGGTGTGGAAGGTGCGGCACAGCTCGGTCTTGTACTTGGGGTGGCGGGTCAGGCTGCGCAGCTCGTGCATGCCGTGCGCGAACTGGCACTTGTCGCCGTACTTGCAGGTGCCGCTCTCCTCGAAGGGCCGACACAGCTCGGTCTTGTAGCGGGTGGAGTTGACCTGCCCGCCCCCGCCGCTCGGTTGCTTTTGCTGCTGCTGCTGCTGCTGTTGGATGAGCTGTAAGGAGCTGAGCTGTTGGTTCTCGCTGAACGAGCGGTCGCGGAACTTGTTCTCTTTGTTCAGCAAAGCCGTGGTCCCGCCGCCGCCGCCGATGCCGATGACGCTCGACTCCTTGATGTTGGCGAAGTTTCCGGGGTACTTGGCGGTCGTCGAGCTGCTGTTGGTCAGCGCCTGCAAGTTGCTGGTCGAATGCCGCCTGGGAAATCCCGGGGCGAAGCCGACCGGGCTGCCCACCGCCTTCTTGTCCAGCATGCTGTTGAAGTTGTTGTAGTTGTTGTTCAGGGACTTCTCGTTCTGCAAGGTATGCGAATGGGGAGACGGGGGTGGTAGGGGGAGAGAGGGAGGGGAGTGGGGGGGGGGGAGTTGGGGAGGGTGGGGGGGGGGGGGGGGGGAGGAAATGTTGCAAAGATTTAGCAAACTCCCAAAGCAATACAAGTCCAAAGGAAGAAAGCAACTATTTTTTTTTGGGGTGTGTGTCTGTGTGTGTGTGTGTGTGTGTGTGTGGGGGTTAAAATTAAGTGTAAAAAAAAACTCAATAAGAAGTGACGGGAGTTTTTTTTCCCCAACACACACACACACACACACGCACACACACGTAAACACACACACACACATAAAGTTATGATCTTTTTTTTTACAAAAAAAAATTGCCCTCACTCCCCGGTTCGGGCAGTTCAGAAAGTTTTGAGAAACTTGGATCGAAAACTTTTTGTTGTTGTGTGTACGTGCGTTTGCAGAAGCACAAACGAGTTCTTTCTACATTACTCCCCACCCCACCACCACCACTCTTCCTTCTCTCCCTCCCTCCCTCCCTCCCACCCCAGCACACTTTCAACTTATTTTTCTAAAAAAAAATTAAAAAGTACAACAAATAATAAAGTTTACCTCATTGCACAGGAATTCACTGATATCGTAGAAGGCAGAGAAAAGAGCTGCAGACATCTTCACGCAGTAAAGGCTACAACCGAAGATCCTGCACACTCTCTCTCTCTCTCTATATATATATAATTATTATATATATATATATATATATATATAAAATAACGAAGCTGGAGCCGCAAACTTGTTCTCTTTTCTGTAGATCACAAGCCAGCAACAAAACGTGAGGTCCGAATGTAGAGAGGAAAGGGAGAGAGAGAGAGAGAGAGAGGAGGAAAATAAAAAAAATGTTTTTTTGGTGGCGGCCGCGTTGAACTGCTGTCGGTGCGGAGCCGCCGCGTTGTTATAAATGCTCAGCGCTCTCCGGGGGGAGGAGTCACACTGCTGCTCGCAAACCCCGGGCCGGAGTCACCATGACAACAGCCGCCTGACTGACAGCCGCGCTCCGGCTCCGGCTCCGGCTCCCCAGCACACACAGGGCGGCACTGCACCGCACCGCACCGCACACAACTGCCTGATCTCACTGTGAAAGCCAATATGCAGTAACTTCACTCACTCACCCCTCCCTCCCTCCTCTCCCCACCGACACCAACACAAATCAACCCGATAGCTAAGTGAGGCGCGTTTCAAATTAAATGCCGCTCTAGTTTGATCTTTGCAACTTTTTGAGCGGTTTGCAAAAATTTTTTTTGTGCGTGTGTGTATGTGCATATGTGTGTGTGTGTGTGCATGTATGCATGTGGGTGTGCATGTATGTATGTGTGTGTGTGTGTGTGTGCATGTGAATGTATGTGTGCACATGTATGTGTATGTGTATGTGTTGGCGTTCACTGAAATACCGATACACAGGGCAGAGAATGCGTCACTGCTGTTACAAAGGCACAGCTGCTGAGTTACTTTCACAATAGGAGCAGAGTCCTGGTTTGTTCTGAACTGGCGGGATTTTTTAATCCCTTTACTCCTCCCGATCAGCATCGATTTTTCAATGATCACCACCCCCCCTCCCCCCCCCCGGAGACGGGATTACAACGGGCACAACCGTTTACTTTTATTATGCACGAGGATGTAAAAATGTGGGGCAAAAGTAGTACTTAAATATTATTTCACACACGAGAAGGGGGGGGGGGAGGAGGGAGGGAAAGCTGACTTGCGTTTCGATCACAAGACCAGTCACTTTTTTTTTGACAGGTTTCAACCTCCTGCTTGTGTGTTGTGTGTTTTTCTTTTAAAAAAATCCATACTTTTAAACCTATTGCAACAGGTGTTTGTGCAAGATTTGGAGAGGGAGATAAGGGTTGGATTTTATTGCTCTCGTCGCAAGTACTAAAAGGAGGCGAACGAGAAGCTGTATGTGTGGTTTCGCCTTCAACTCGAGTCTCGGTTATTAAAACAAAAAGAGGATCCAAAACACATGGTATGCATTCAAGGCAGAAGATGCAGAGATTAGGCTATTGCACGCGGGGTAATACATGTGCACATTATCAATTTAATGTAAGCGAATCGGTTTCCAGTTCTTGTTCCAAATTGGGTTTGATAAATATAGTGCAACCACTTAGTGACGGGGCGAGGCTTAAACAAGCGAGAAGCCAACACACTTGTGGATCCCAAATCCTGTGCACTCACCGAATGCAACGCGAAAACAAAAAGGATCTGCAACTGCACAATGCAATCGTTTCATTACGAAAAAAAACTGCGTGTAAACTTTCTTTAAAGCGCCCATTCCCCATTCCCCCCCCCCACCACTCTCTTAAATTCACGAGTACTAAACAGGAAGTGATGATAGAGAAAAAAAAACACTTGGGGGGGGGGGGAAGGTTACTTTGCATTTTCACCCCCACCCCCACCAACAACATTTCTGTGCCATGCAGACTTTTTTTTAAAAAAATGTTAAATAGATTAAGGACGAAGCCCTATATTACTCCGTTTCAATGCTCCCCTCGAGGTGGATCGAGTCCCCCCCCCCCACCAACCCCCTCTGTTTTTTGTATCAACTTTCCTGCTGAGTTGATCGTGTCCCCGGCGCGGGCAGTGAGTGTTACAAACTGGTTACAATTTGGCGGAGCCAAACTGCTTTTCTGCCTTAATATAAAAAAATAAAAACGTGCATTTACTGCACTCGTAGATTTCCCGATAGATAACAACACATCTCGGGCGCAGAGAGAATAAATGGCTTCTTATTTTGCAAACTTTGAAACCAAACGAAACAGTCTCACTATGTATATGTGTATATATATATATATATATATATAAAAGCGTTGGGTCACATAGAAAGAGTTAAACTTTTTTACGGGCTGTGGGTAATACCAGACTTTATAGAAAAGAAATTGATCGCGGGTTTCCCACACTTCCCACACTTAATGTCAGGATTATTACTGGAAAAACTCAGCTCACGTCGCAACATTAGCCTCTGATAGTACATTAGTGATGTGGTCGCTTTATGTGACATGGATCATTCGATGCCAATTGCAACAATTGCAACTAATTCGCCACGATTTTCTGATGTGTTTTATTCCCCCCCTTCCCCTCCCCCCTCCCCTCCCCTCCCTCCCCTCCCTCCCCTCGCCGGGACCTTGTCCATGCCACGCTGGAGCCTTAGGGAGAAAAAAAAACCTGGTGAGAAACCAGTCAGCTCTCTCCCCCCACCCTCACAGGGTGCAAATCGAAATTGTGCAGTGACATAACTGGCTCTCCACAAACAGCTTTGCTTCACTCCCTCTCTCTCTCCCTCCCTCTCTCTCTCTCCTTCCCTCTCTCCCTCCCTCCCCCAAAGCAGGACAAGGTTTCTGAGCTTCTGATTTGAATCGTGCAGAGTTGTTGCAACCTTTCCCGCAGGACGTGTGCACTCGCAGGACGCAGCGCCCCCGTGTGCAGTAATCCCAACACAGCAAAACACATCCATTAAAATCAATTACATTAACCCATTCGCGGTCTGCAGCAACACGTGCAAGTGCCGAGAGCTCAGGAATATATCCCCCCCCTCCCCACCCCCCGTATTCACCGTCCCATTAATATGTTGACACATTGTATTGCAGTTTAATAGCTTTATTGCAGGGTAAAAATGTAACAAAACATGCACTGATTTCTGGGGCTGAGGTGGGGCTTAACCCTCCCACCATCCCACATGCAACTTTGTTAACTTGGTTTTTTAAAAAAAAGAGACTCGTTCGTTCGTACCAGATGTTAAACCTTCTTTGTTCAGCGCTTTGGGACGTCCTCCCGACGTGAAAGGTGCTCTATAAATGTAATTTTGCTGTTGTTGCAGAATTCAAGAGGCATTCTGCATTTAAAAAAAAATGACCTTTTCCCCCTTTGGGAAAATATGCACAATTCATGTACAAACCCATTTGGCGGTTGATTGTTTTGTACCGGGGCCGATGTTCAGCCAAAGATATTTTCAGCGTCTGGCAATAATAAATTCGATCTCTTGGTCATATCGCTGCTTAAGTTTAATTAATTGTGGTTTCCATGGAAATGATGCCTTCCAGGTTGTATCCAGTAACTGGAAAGAGGGGATCCGGGGAAGAAACATCCTGAGCTCCCATTGAAAGAAGTATTTTAATAATCCTTGCATTTGATGATACCAACTTTTCACATTGTCGAAATGTCTCAAAGCGCATTCACAGGATTTTGTACCGAATGTCAGTGGATCTTAAGTAGAGTAAGATTTTAATTGTGTTAAAATTGTCACCTCTTCCCCCTCCCTTGATTTTGGGTGTGATATGGGGTATTTTATATGAACATTTTAAAACCAGAATGACTTGTGGGGGGCTGGTGGAGGGGGGAGGTGGAGAGGAATAATTGGCAAGTAGGCAAATTCAGTACACCAATGCCCCTTGTGTGTAGTTTATGGGAATGTCTAGTGCTGCCCGTGAGTTCCTGATCTTTGGACAAAGTGCAGAGGTTCCCAACTCTACACTATTAAGCCACACGCAGAAAAAAGTTGTAAACTGGAAAGGATCGTAGTGCTTCCACACAGATCGTTGCATTCCATCAATGTTAGTGAAAATATCTTGTGGGAGTTTGGTTACAGTACACGAGGGGAAGATGAGATGTCGCCAAGACCAACCTTTTGTCATAGGTGTGGTGTGTTCTAACTGTGAAAGGCATAGTCAGGGGAAACCATGAAAACATAGGGGTGCAATTCACGCTCTCAAATGACATGCTTCACCTGTAGAAATATCTATTTTAGAGGGAAACGAACAGATATTTAAACCCTTTTGAGTTTTTGTTAGTCAGAAACGTGTTTGATCCTGCCTTCAGATGTCAAGATGCCCATTTTTCTAATGCTCTTTTCAAGTCAGTCTAAATGTCAGCAGATAACTGGCACCATTTTATTGTTTCTATCATGTCCCTAAGAACTTCTCGACACATTGTGCTGTGCTGGCTCTTTGAAAGCGCTACCTATTCAGTCCCAATCCTACCTTTTCGTTCACTTCAATTTTTTTTCCAAATTTGCCAAATTCATTTTTGGAAAGCTCTTATATAATTCAACTGTTTGCAAGTTAATTATTTTGCTTGAAAGTATGGATTCGCACACATGGTTAAATACAGTATTAAGTGTACACTAATGATAGGCAGGGCACGGGGGCACCTTTCAACGAGGTCGATTTGAAAATGCAGGTTCCTGAATGGGCAAATGTTTGTTCGAATGTACGACGAGTGGAGCTCACACAAATAATGGCCATTTAACCAAAAAGTCAGATTCCATTGCCTATACTCCAGTTCGAAGAAAAAATGAGTCAAAAACATCTTCGCCAGAGGAGGTAGGGAAAAAATTGGCGGCGATGGAAAAAAAATTGGGGGTGGGATGAGTTGTTTAGTTTTTGCATTTTGCCAGAGGCAGCTCCATAAAAACAAACATATTCTGCCAGTGATTGATGCCATATGAAACTGTGGCGTTTGTACTTCCTTAATATAAATATGCTACATAAATAAATACATCCCAAGACAAATGCAACACCTCTTCGGCTTTGGATGGGTTTGTGATGTATTATACCATGGCCCTTTACACCATGAACCTCCTCTAATGCACTTGAATATTGCTGCCTCGTTCACCCTTCCCCTCCCTGCCTGCTCCATGCCACCGTTAGTCATTGTAACCCTCACCTTAGGAATTCCCTGCCTCTATCCCTCCCTCTCTTCCCCTCTCTGTCTTTACTTCCCACCTTAAAATCAAAACCAGGAATATGTAGCTCAATATGTTGACACTGCACTTATGGGAATCTGGGAAAGTTTGCGATTTTTCTTTGAAACAAAATTCATGAGACAAGCTAGTTAATCGGCATAACGTACAGTATATCCTGGGAAGAGCTTTGAGATGTCCCTGTCCCACGTGAAAGCCTTT